GAGGGACGGGCTGCTTCTTCTCTGCTTCTTTCATGGAGTACAGAGTACTACTGAGGGCTCCCTGCGTCTGCGTTGAATCGCTCGTTCATTCATGGGTCGCACGTCTCTCCTCTCGCCAGCTTGACCTCTTCTCGTCCAGAGAAGCGCTGGTGAAACCTAATCGATTCCCGACTTTCTCAAGCTTTTTATTTGGGTTTGGGTCCACGGACGGTCAAACTTCGCTTCCAACTTGACTCATCTGCAAATAGCATGGACACTACGGAGTACTAACATCCAGTCTGGCTGCTTGCTGTGCCGAGCGCCCCGGCCTTACAAAGGCATCTGATTCCAGGCACGGAGAAATGTACCTCGGCGTGTGAGGGTGGCCTTTGGATCATCTAATGTCGGTTGTGTTCGCGATTCAACACATTTTTTCAATCCCCTTGATATAGTATCTGTGGCCATTGGAACCCAGCTGTCGTGTGATGCATGAAGCAGACCCATGCGTCTGGTCGCCCTTCGGCGACTCGAGTTTGCCAGGGCAATTTCAACCATGGCCTTGCAACCCTGAGGTCGTATCAGCGGGGGAGGTGTTGATTGGCTGGGACGGGCCTAGGTGGGCGTTGTGACTCCTTTCGTTTTGCCTCATCTGAGGAGGAATGCAGCCTTTTCACCATGACGGCGGACAGCCACTGCGACAAGACTCTCAGACTCTCTCTGACAGACACTGTCGTGACTGTGTCCCACAAGACCGGGTTCGAGACATTGATCACCACCAGATGTGTCTGTGCCGCTATCGTTGACCCTCTGCCATCCGGGCAAAGGCTGCACGCCGCATGATAACTACGTCCACTTCCCCAGATCCCGGACTATGAATCTCGGTTGCAGAGAGGCCGCTGCGGTCCATTCACCTTGGTGCGACTTTGTGAAATCAAGACGTGCAAAAGCCATTTGTTGCACAATCACTTTTGTTGGCGCTAGCAGTCTTTCCGGCCAGAGACCAAATAATCAGAGAGCACAGATGGTTTCAACGTCAGCCATGATCGCGGGCGAGCCAAAGCAGCAATGATACAGTTTTTTAAAAAAAAAAAAAAAAAGGACACGATTTGCCTTTGGTTTCGTCTACACCGGGATGATACCTTGCATGTTAACCGAACACAACGATTTGGCCGTGTTGAGCCATCATGGCGCTGACGATAGACCACGGCAAGCTGTTGGCATCAAAGAAGTTCAATCCTCCCATGCCTTGTCTTCCCGTTGTGAAACAAGTGTACATACATTCTCACGAATCGAGGAGCCGTATTGGGACTGGTCTCGACTTTTGGCGGGACATGGCGTTGATATCTTGACGAGTTGCATGACGGAGCCTATATGTACTTGTCATATTTTACATCTTTCAGTCTACCGTGGAGCAATTGCTTTTGGTCTCGCCGAGTGCAAGTTGGCGACGCAATAGGCAACGCTTGGCACACTTTCGTGTAGCCCGGGCTCCCAGAGTTGCACTGGCGATGAAAGCCATGCCAAAATCATGGCCATTGCGGGAGTAGACCTGTACATGGCCATGCACTGCTTGAAAAAATAGTAGCAGTACCGGGCCAAAAACTGAGTTTGTTGTTGGCCGACGTCGTACGCCACAAGCCCTGCAATGGTTTGGCTGCTGGCCGGGTCGTTTGAGAGCAAACAACGCAGGACGTCGATCATATGAGTAGTGGTCTAGACCATGGGTTAATATTCATTGCCCGGCAACAAATTTAGATATTGGCCCGCTTCATGGCATTGGGTCGGAGATATTCCAGGAACTGTGCCCAGGCACCAAGCTCACGAATAGATTGATGCTTGAGCTACCCTGCACCGGTACCTAATACGTCATCTTTATCATGTCTTGTTCGGGAATACGAGTCGCTGGTAGTGCCAGATACCTTTGCACCATTATGTGGCGTAATCGGCCGCAGCCGTCTTTGAGCTTGGGCAACATATCCCAAGGCGAAAGTTCTTATCTCGAGTCTCGAGGCTGGGCGTCGAGTCGAGACTTGTTTCAATACTCGCCTCATTACAAGCCAAAGCCAAACACCATGAAAACCAGCATGTCGCTCTCTGTTCCAACCAAACAGTTGCCGAGGAGGCAGCCGAATAAACAGATTGGAAAACACTCGCGGACATGGCTCGATACCCGGTAGAATATCATGCCCGCCCGGGGTTGAAATGAAGCACGCACGAGCATTTCAACACGCAGAGCCCATACCTCGTCTATATCGGGCACGTACTCGACATTTACATGGGCATACGCAGTTGGAAACGACGGAGCAGTAACCGGCCGCCCCGAGTCGTCGAGGGAATGGCTATGTGAAAATGCCGAGGAACGCTCTTAAGCATCCGGGCGTCGAGAATGTGACTCTGTTGAAACGTAAAATACTCAATTTGAGGTGTTCCTCGTTGGAAATCCTGTTCTTTTTCTCGACACATTTTTTCCGCACGGGGTTTTTGTGTGCTGGCTCATTCTCTATGGAACGTCTCCCAGGCCCAAGAAGCCGTCTCTCAAAAAGACACGACATTCATCTCCATCGATGCCCACAAGTCGGAATCCCTACTTATCACCAGATCATTCATGGACAAGGTTGAATCGCTGCAGACAACGTCCTTGGCCAGGGCCACGCCGCATCCAAGAATGACAAAGGCTGGTCTTGGCGGTTAGCTGCGGCGTAGATAGGCGGTTCTCTCGACGAGGCAGGGCAATCGGCGTGTCATGTTGAAGCAGAAGTGGCGTCTGCCGGAAGTACGGCTTGCACAAGTGAATCCGCCTTGACATGATCCAGGATCCAGGGTATGTATATGTAGGTGGTGATTTTGCTTTTCAAGCAAACAGGGCACGCAGCGAGACCTGCCCACCACGGCCCACCGGGGCGACATGGTATCTTAGCATCATTGTCAAATTGCCAGTCACGAGAAGGGTCAAGGTGCATTTGCTCGCCTTCCGGTGGACAAGCTCGGTCTGTAGCACACGTCGTTCCTGGAGGGAGTGGCGGGAAAACACCGCCTTGCAACCCATGGCCGAATAAATGTCCGCTGGGCCATCCATGGCCCCCCCGTGTTTGAAGTCATGAGCTGCAGCTGAAGGTTCAAACGTGTTGCAATGAAGGCTTGTTTTCCCTCTGGCGGGTCACCGGCCTGGATGGAAACGATGAGAACATTGAAGGCCGCACAGGCTGACCGCGCATGACTACCCAACAAGTAAGTGCTCGCCTGAGCCCATGGCCAATACAAAGCCCTCGACAAAAAAAGAAAAGAAAGAGCCTCATTCTTTCGGTGTTTGGATTGTACGGAGTACGGAGTAGTACATCCATCCACCCGAGGGGCCCGCCTGCAGCTCCATGTCCGTCACACAACACAACACAACACCCAGCTGCTCATGATGGTACAAATTTACAGAGCCTGCGCATCAACTCCATTTCCATTTGATGTCGCCCAAGTCTCCGGCTCCCTCCCGGGGCTGTGCCGTGAGCCGCGAGGCTGTCGGGCAGACGTCGAATGGCCTCATGCACCGCCCTCTCCCCTGCCCGTCGCCCTGTTTTTTTTTTCTTGTTTCTTTAATTAATAAATACTTCCCCATTGCCTTTGTATTCTTGGTTGCATTCGAGTCGCACGGCGATTGTTGGGCCTTTTTTTTTTTCTTCTTTCTTTCTTTTTTTGTGTATCCATTCAACAGCCGTTGTCGTGCAAGTCTCACAACCTAAAGCTTCGACCTATACGGAGTAAGTGCGTTGTGAAAGCACGCCCACGAGCAGGGGGTGGGTGACTTGGCCATAGACCATAGACAGACAGCACGGGGCTGTTCCTGGGCTCCCCTGGTTTTTTTTTGGTGTGTCGCCGCACTGGCCATGGTTTGGGGTTTCTTGCGTCGTGACGTCTTTTTGTCCACGAAACCTTCACGGCCGCCATGCAGAGACCACGGCCGCCGTCGGCGTCGACTTCACCACACTCCCGTGCAGGTCCAGACGGCGCGCCTCGATCGGCGTCCCGCGCGAGATGGCACATGTCGCCATCGCCGTCGCCGTCGCCGTCGCCATCGCGGTCCCGGACGCCGTCGCAGTCCCGCTCACCGTCAAGATCAACAAGACGCAGCGCGTCGCGGCCGCCCCCCAGACGCAGCTCCAGGGACTCGCAGCAGGAGAAGGAGCACAACCGGGGCAGCCTCATCAAGGACTCTGCCGGCCTGCTGCTGGGCATCGGCGTGGCGGCCGTTGTCGCCCACAGGTTCTGGCCAAAGGGCATGCTGTACGGCGCCAAGGAGGAGTGGGAGACGCGCCTGGACAAGGCCAGGGACAAGGTGCTTGGGGACGACAATGGCCGTGACCCTGACGTCCGTCGCCGGGAGAGGGGCCGTAGTATGAATAGGGGCAGGGCCTACCACTACCACTACGACTACGAGAGCGAGAGACTGGCCGTGGAAAGAGGTCCCGCGGCCCCCTCGCCGGGGAGCAGAAGTTGTTGGGAACGAGTTCCCAGGGGACGAAGCCTGGGACCGCTCCGGAGGAGAGTCTACCAAGAGGCTGCTGACACCGCGAGGTGGGAGAGGCCGGGGCCCGGGCATCGTCAACAGGGTAGGGGGGAGCCATTGTATGCTTCGGAAGGATTTCCCCAGCTACCAGATGTGGATTTGGGACACCGCGCTCGTCGTGAAGATGACTTTACTGTAGTGGAGAGACTTGCCGCGGCATGGTGGCCGCGGGTATAGATGATGAGACGACTTCTCACGATCAACGCCTTTTTTTTTCTTTTCACGCTGCTACTTTAGTTACTTTGCCGCTCGATACCCGTGTTGCATTTTCCATTTTGCTAGCATACTTCTTGCTCACTATATGCATCGAAAAACTCGTGGGTTGGACCAGCTTCATATTTCAAGTAGAGCTCTGCCTGATTTCCATGTATCCAACTTTATTTCTCGTGTGAATATCCCTTTTCTATATGCATTGCGACGCCATCAAGATTTGCCCCATATCATTGTTGCACCGCCAATCCTTGCCTTATAAATCCATCTCGTCTTCAGGCCGTGAAGCAATTCCCTGTTGACTGTACCGAGTTTCTGTCCCAAGGACGTCGCCCTTCGTGTGTTTAGCAACAGCGTCCTGCCAAAAATCACCCCCGGTGCGCATCACCAGGCCGGTGGAAAGGCAGCCGCCAAAGTACTGTTCCCGCCGCGTGCTTCTTCGTTCGCTACCTTCAAGCGCCGAGTACGCACTCCTCGTATTGCGCATGCGCTTCCTTGTGACGCCGTCACTCAATACATGGCTTAGCTTTAGCCTTTCTTGCATGAGCTGATTCTCAAAGGCCACGATGCCACGAATCCAAGGAGCAACATCCAGAACAATCAGCTGCATCGTGCGGTCAAAGACAGACGGGTCGAGATGTGAACTTGGTTGCGCTTTGGGCGCTATGGCTATTGGATCGAATGCGTGGGCCATGTCCATCCGGTTGACGCTCTTGGAAGTGTCATGGAATGACGACTCGAGCCTTGAGATGGCGCTAGACTCGTTGACTGCGCACAAACCGGCATTGTCTCGAGATGGTTGTACGTCTTGCAGCCTTGAACGTAACCGCGCCCGAGCCTGTGATCGCAAGGTCATGGAAATCGTTTTGCCAGGCATGACAGGGCGTATGTAGTCATCTGCTTCTAACAAGGTACGCCCGATTATGAAGTCTTCTCTCGCCTTGCTAGTAAGATCAGGAAGCGACGGATCAACGGGCTCCTGCAGCCAAGTTGCACACATACCCGCAGAACAAATGTCAGCATCGCTCATTGTCTGGTAGAATTTGTCCAAGGCTTCAAGTGCGGCTGCTCGTTTGCCCTCAGTGTCGCCCGAGTCCCATGCCGCCCTTACTACCGACCCCAATTCATTGGATTGACACCAATCGCCCATATCCACTTGCCAGAAGTTCCAGGACTGTTGCAAGGCCTCGACCTCTCGGTCGTACCTGTCGCACTCTGATATCATAACATCCCGTCCGATCCAGCCCATGCCGTTCTGGTACGTATCCTCACTAATCACTCGAACGACATCACCGTCATTATCCAAGTCGCAACCTTTGGGCCACCGGGCGTAAAACCAGTCGAATCCTCCTCTGCGATCACCCACTCCAATTTGACACCAGAAGTTAAGATCAGAAATGGTGGCTCGTAGGTCGCGATCACGAGCTCGATATAGGGACTCAACGGCGGATCTCTGGAGACTATGTCCTTCATTTGCGGCAATGAGAAGACACAGATCCACCGCAATAGGGTCTGGTGCTGGCATGAAGCGAAAGATTCCATGAAGGTTTAGACTCTGGAGCGGGACTAAGCTCTCATCATTGCAAGTGATAACGAAAGGTCGCCGCGACTGATTCATCATGCCTGTCAAGACTGCCCAGAACTGCTTGTCTTCTTCATATAATATATCCGCTTCTTCAATCAGGATAAGAGACTGTTTCTGAGCTTTCGAACTCGGCTTTTGAGTTTGGCCACCTATAGCTTGCTTTGACCTTGCTTTTGTCTCAGGAGCAGCCTTTGATTTGAAGAAAGCCGTCATCCTGCCTTGTTTGCCAGACTTTGTCGACCCATTGCCCTCATAATCAAGCCCTCCATCCACTGATGGCTGCGCAGCTCGGTGCTGTTGAACTAAGTGATTTCGCGTCATGTCTCCAACCCTTTCGAGAACATCCTTACCACTTCGCCGGGTGCCTGAATTTATCTCGAATATTTCAAAGTCAAGTTCCTTCGCAATAGCGTATACAGCGGCGGTCTTGCCACAGCCGTTTGCGCCACTAATGACAACGGTATTCCTCAGCTGTCCCGGCTCCTTGAACCTTGCGCCACCAGCTCGAACGACAGATTTGAGGCATCTGCCAGAGCTCCCATCTTCTTCTCCATCGCTTCCAAAGATCTCTTCCAGATCACTCCCTTCCTCGTCAGTGTCGACGATGAAATCATCCACTTTGTTCTTCCTCCTCTTTTTTCTCGGTAATGACTCGGCTTTTGATCTGCCCTTATCTCCAGTGACGTCACCGCTACCAGTTTCAACTGATTGAACCTTCATTCCTTCTAACCATTGTTTTATGTGAAGGGCATCCTTGGATTTCTGAAGGACTTGTGCTGCTGAGACAGGTGCGTACTTTTGATTCCAAGAGGATCCCTCACAGGTAGACCTGTCGTATGCCGATAGGTGTGTCCCTAGAGAGACATAGTGGCGGCTGATGGCTGGATGAGCCAGCGTTGGCGGTGGCCCTGCAAGTTCGTCCAAACATGGATCTTCTATTCCTGCCAATGCCAATGGTGAGGTAATTGTAAGTTGAGGTCGTATTCGACGTTGTAATTTTGAACCGCTCTCACATCGCTTTTGTGGAATGCGGAGCTCCGCAGGGGCAGGGTTGAAAGCGTCGTTGTCCTGCGGCAAACTACGGCGCACGCCTGCGACGTCTAATCTATCGACAACAGCAGCCAGCACTGATTCATTTGGACCGATGGTCGTGACCTGTCCTTTGAATTTCTTGTATCCGCCAGTTTCGACCCTACATTCCGTGGTACAAAGCGGTCTGAAGCTATTCCCTCGAACATGGGACATGCCCTGCGCTGGCCACATGGGGTGCTTGGCACCAGGTACTTTTGTCCCTCTAGGCCTGATACCAAATTGTGATTCCGCCGTAGCAGTTGTTGACGAGAATGAGTCCCTCGGTCTCCTGGGAGACACAGGCGTTGACATGAATACAGAGTTCTTTTGAGCAGGCGACCTTGTTCCTGAATCTGTTGATTGAATAGGTGTTGATGAACGAGGATTCGGTTTGCCTGAGAAGAACGGGTGAGTCCCTTTGGTAGATGTAGAAGATTTGGCGATAATATCACTGGTTTTGGTTACACTCTTATGTGGTCGCTGCTCTGTCGGTGTTTCCGGGAGTTGTAAGCTGCCGTCCAACACCCGTGTGACTTTCTCTCCAATTTCACTCCTTGATTTTTCATCCCGACCATACTTGATACAGACGATCAGGGAGCGCTTAGATTTTTGTTTCGTCTTGGGTGGTGATCCTAGAGTGCCAGTTCTAGGGTTCAGTCTCAGTACTTTCTTTGCCTGTGGCGGCGCGTTTCGTTCGGACTGGTCCATGCTGGTCGTTGGCAGAGCGCATTGGGTGATATCATTTAGGGGTTTGTTTGGCATGTTGGAGGGAGTAGACAGACATTGTAGCTCGTATTGGTTTTTCGTTGACATGCAAGTGTCCTGTCCGGTAATCTTAGAAGGCGGAAGGCGTTGAGCAGAGCCGGAAAGAGGGCGAGTGAGAGCAGCTCCTGGTGCATCAGCTGCATGGCTGAGTTGTTGAGGGCCCGTATCTCTCTCATATTGAGATGCTAAATCAGACTTATATTTTCTCGTAGGGTGTCCGTCGTCTCCAGCATCAATCACGGGAGTGGAGATGTCGCTACTGCCAAGCCGTGTGTTCGGGGTATCATTTGACGTCGAAGTGGTCGAGATCAGACCAGATGCACCATTGGCGAAGAAAGGGTGCAGTTTTCGGGATGACGGTTCACCAATGCCATTACGGCCCATGTTTTCTACCAACACAGGTCCCATTTGACGTGTAGTGACTCGTTTACCAGCTTTCCGGCAAAGGGCGATGTTAGCTGCTTGGGCAAGGTTCTGCACGCTCACTCCATACCTGTTTAACTTATCGTATCCGTAGCATTGCAAACAGCCCAGATAAATACCTTCGGGAAACCTGATTATCACCATGCCATAGTGGTTGATTTGGCGACCCTGCTGAAAAATCGAAATGTGATATGCTGGATCTGAAATTGATGGTGGAAGTTGCGATGGAAGTGTCGGTTGTGGACCCGCGATTTGCTACGGAGTACTTGCTTGGTAACTACCAGACGCGTTCTGGAGGAGACGCGCTCGTGGCCACTTAAAGGGTACGTGCCTCAGCAGAAGTCGGCCACACATTGGGACTGCATATCCTGACCCCACCACTCGCACTTTCCTTGTTCTATGGAGTGCCAGCCCCACTTCCGGATTTTTGTATCGGGCCGCTGCCAGTATTTTTTTTTCTGGCTCGGTTTACCAATTATACAAATCGCAGCACCAGGTCGTTGAAGACGCCGCCGTCGCCGATTATTTCCCTCAATTGATGAAATAAAGCTCTGCTGCACAGCAGAGGCGGACGTTTGCGATGGCGTCTGAACACAAGATTCATCGACCATATGTGCTGGCCACTTTGCCCCGCCCTCTTGACCACACTGGTGGTCGTATTGTTGCTCGCGAGGTCTATGGTTTACGGCCTGGCCAAAAAAAGAAGAAGCGTATGGAGCTAGCCGTTGGAGTTGATGGTGAAACAGCCAGTATATACGATGTGCGTATTTTATTATTCCATGGAAGCCTTTTACAACAACAATCTGGCTAATAAGAAGGACAGGTTCCTGCGTCGCGACTCATCACATCGTATCCCATCCCACCTCAAGAATCCTTCACCTGCGCTCCGTACTCTATTAGACTACGGCGGTCAGGCAGCGAAGATGTGTATCGGTATACATATATTGCTACAAGAGATGCCAAGTCATACAAAGTTACATTGTTCAGAGATGTCGTACATCCAGATGGCAAGACTACAACATCAACAACTTCTCAGACTCTGCGAGCATCCCCGATTCACATTACTGGCTCCTCTTCTACTACATCCTCATTATCGGGAAACACAGTAGGAGATGTCGTAGCTATCTGCGAAGATGGGCAAGTTATTTATCTGACAGGCGAAGACCTCACCCTGCAATGGTCTTCCCCATTCAAGCCAGCCATCCAAGATGTTATTGCGGGAGCCATTGAAAGCCTACGAGTGGAGTATGTCTCATCTGGAAGTGTGACCGACTTTAGAGAGGGAGTTTTCAAAAGCAGGCTGGAAATTTTCAGCGCATTGCCTCGGGCCCTCGACGTTGACCCCTCGCTCATCTTCGTCGTCGTCAAAAGCGCTTCCGAAGGAAAGTCAACCCGCCATCTTTTGGTCCTGGCTACTTTGCCAGGCGGAGCTGCTGCTGCACCTGGCGTACAGAATTTGATTCCTCTGGACATCAGTCCCCTTCCAGCCAACTCCTCCCGAGAAGAATCACCGGTTTACGAGGTGGACATTCACTCAGGCTTTCTCACAGAACTCGCAAACGATGTGCTCAGTGTTTACGATATTACCAGTGCGGTTCCGAAAAAGAAGTCTATGATCCAAATGGCTGGCACACAGTCATTTATACGTCTCTCAAGACCATTCCTTCTCACCACATCCACGGATTCGATGGTCTTATACAACCACCAATACAGCTCTGTGCACGGAAGGGCTGATTTGGATCTATCTGAACTCCCAGCCGAAGACCAACAGGCACGAAATTGCCAATTAATTACCTACTTTCGCAGCCAGGATCTCGCCATTGCTTTGATCGACAATGTGCTAGTTTCCATTCACGTGGAGCCTCCTCATTATCATGGGAAGCGACGCAAGGAAGGGCTATTGATTGACTCGATTGGTAGAGGGGCACCATTCGAGGTGCAAACAAAGCCCTCAAAGGGCGAGTCAGTGTCTGCGGAATTTTCCCGCCTAATCCCTGGAAGCATGACTGAAGAGTACCTGGTCGCATACCACAAGGAAATCCTAGCAGCCAACGAAATGCTGGCCAACAACGCCTTAGGAAAATGGGAAGACCTACTACGGCAAAAATTCGGCTTGAAAAACCAGAATGATCCTGCCTTGGCGAATGGGGAGGCAACCGTGGAGGCTCAAGAGCTACCCGAATGGGACTGGCAAACAGAGACTGGTTCATACCCCCCTGTTGACAGACGATGGGTGATATATGCGATAAGCCAAGTCTTCTCAGTGGAGACGACCTCATCTGACGAACCGAAGCCTGAACTACGCTTGGCTCTCCCAGACAGCAACGTCACAACTTACCTGGTTGTTGCAGGTCACTTGACAATCTCCAACTTGATTTCAGCCTTCCGCGACGTGCTTCCTCTGGAAGCTTCGGGGATCAAGGCTGTGGCCAGAGACTTAATCCACAGCCTCACTGATGCTGATCCGTCTATGACACTCTTGCTGAACTACCTGCAAGCCACAAAGTTGGGGGAAGTAGAGCTGTTGCTTGCAATCAGAAGCCTTATGCTGAGCATGGATTTACTCCCGGATACGAACAAGCTGAATAAGCTTAAGCTGTTGGCAAATGAAGCTCACGAAGAAGGCGATACGCAGGAAGTGGACCTGGATGATCTCGAAAGAGAAATTGCTGTCACCGAGCATTACTTAGGAGACGAGTCAAGCAGCCGCTCCCGCGGCTTGACTCTAGCATTCACAAAGCTGTGGCGCATTCCAGCCATTGCGACGGTCAAAGCTCTCCGTGATACAGTCCGAACCGAAGAGGTGCTAGCTTTCATCTACATACTTAGAGTGGAATTGGTTCGCGGAGCCTGGACAACCCTGTACATTGATCCCACTAGCCTTGACTCTGAAGGCAACGATCCTCCCCCGGATGGCGTCATTACCCTCATTGCAGACCTACTCGGACGGTGCCTGGATGCAGTCGGTGCTGGAGGATGGCTGTTTAACGATGCTATGACCTGGGCGGACAAGACTGAGACCGGTGACTTTTTGACCGCCCTAAAACTGGAGGTTGCTGCAGCCCTGGAAGGCTTGGAGGAAGCTGTTCTCCTCAACGGCATTGTGGGTGAGGCTGTACGGTATGGGCTTACAGCAGAGAAGAACTGGGCGGCACGTCAGGTTTGGACCCCAAACAAACCCATTTCTTTGCACTTGGAGGGCAAAGAGTCTCGACTTCTGCCACTTGGGCTGAAGATGAAATTGCTCCCTACCAGAGAAAAGGTGGTTTCCGGTGGTGAGGTTGTTAATCGCACCTCACGAGAAACGGGACATATGATAAGTCAAAAAGTGGAGGCTTATTCACTCGAGAAGCTGGCTATTTGAGCCGCATCGAAGCTGTCTCGTCCGGTCCAAGTGTGGATGCACACAACCGCATCTCGTCCTCTAGCTATATCAGGAAGGCATCAATGTTTGTAACGCATCCAGTGCGGCTGAGAATATTGCATCAAGGCCTATCAGAGCCAAGGCATGGATTTCGGGCATAGATGCGGAGTGTTTCCAGGGCGCAGTTGGTTAATGCCGCCCTGGTGACATGGAGAGCAAATGCTAGGCTGTGAAGATGGAACGGGAATGTTGGTTGCATAGACGTTGCATAGACGATGGGCAGAATATGCCCCAGAAGGCGTTCAGGGTGGCTCACATGGTTTTGATTTTGTACAAACAAACACTGGCTACATTTGCATGACTCTGATACCGCGAATAGATAGCGAATGCGAGTATTCCCTGAAACGCGCCTACAATCCTGATACAGGAAAATCATTTGCATGTACAGCAACTTCAGTCCTGATGTGGGCGTTATTGGGGATCCTCGAACTAGCCTGGATCCCATGATAACAATCGCTTACGATTCGCACTTTGTCCATGCACTCTTGCGAGTACTAGTCGATTTACAGTTGACAGGTAAGACGACGTATTGACCTCGGCCTAGCTCGTTGCAGTGAGGCGAACGGATAATCACAGATGTGACAAAATGGGAGGCTGATCTACGGGCTAATCAAGCAATGATGACGGGGATGGCGTTCGGAAAGCTTGTCCAGGGGAGTCGGATGCCATGTGCTACAAGTTGTTACAACATGGACCTGGCCTGGTGCTGCCTGTGTAAATGACAGCCACTTGGGCACGGGGACGTCAAAATTTCCATCGTACCGTTTATCTCCATGTATATAGAAAGATAAATTAATATAGTAGGAGATCATATGGAGATACAAGTACCGTTTATCTTTAAAATACATAAAAAGATACTTATACATTATCTACGAGGCATCTCAGACAAAGTGGGCCCGGTACGAAATCGGCACCTTCGGACACCCAAAGGGATTTGTTTGGAACATTCTCAGCCGGTAGCTTTCGGCGTGCCTTGGGTGCGATATCCCACGGTTAGACTGAGTCGGCTATGGCAGCCGATCTCGTGGTTCGTCGGTTGCAGAGAGGCGCAGCAAGTAACTAGGGGGATAGAGGGAGATTCTGGAAGCTGCTGTTTTCATAGTGCACATTAAGGCGTGTTCCGTCACGCCGTTGGAGAGATAGCTGACTTGAAACCCGAAGTCAAGCTACCGAATCTGACTTGCTGGGAGCCTTGGGGTGTGGCACTCCAGTTCGTAGTCGCTTTGGGCCTTTGGCCCCAACGTGGCTTAATAGCGAAGAACTGGGCGTCGCGTATGATTGCTCCTAGTCCCTTGCTGCCTAAAGAGTCGATCCAACCACAATGCAGGCAAATGGCATGAATTGAACTGTGGGGAACGAGAGAACAAAGGAGCATGAGGTATATTTTGCGGCTCTGCGGAGGTGACTAGTCGAGACAGATATCATGGTGCTTGCAGATGTTATGCTCGGTAGTTCGTACATCAGGCCTCGTGGAATAAAACAGCCATGGGGGCGATGTTGACGTGCCTGTGTGCTACCGACGGCAGTGACTCACTCTTAACTTCAATATTCCGTTACTAAGACTGTATCGAGAGGTTCAGAGGGTCCCAGACCAAAGGACTGGAAAACGAATCATACCCATCCTTGATGGTGGCGTTGGGCGTCCCTCGGAGCCAAGACAAGCCAAGAGGAAGAGCCAAGAGCCTCACAGTGACGTGCAGGCAGCTAACCAGGACCCTGGTGAAACTTGTAGTACTTGATACGACTCCCCCACAGCGAATTCTTGGATGGTGGTGGAAGTGGCGGATTCGTGGACGGCGGCCGAGCCCGATATTGTAAACACGATGAACACAGGCACAGCCCCAACGCACTAGGCGTTGGGCATCCCTTTGACGACATGCATGCCCTCGGGACCAGGCACACCAGCTTCCAGGTACGAGGGCGATGGCGAAGTCAGACACGAGAAGCCGAACGTTTCATGATTTGATGAAGAAATGACTCTGGCGAACTCCTGAGTCGAGAACAACATTCATGCATGACGGCGAATGCTGCAACTTGCTCTGGGACGGTTGGCCGGCCGGTCCTTCCGCCACTAAATGTCTGGGCGGGAAGTGGAGAGGGCCGCCATGTGAGGCAGGCGGGCATGACGGCAACTATCAGGTACGTACTCCGTACTAGGCACCTACAATGCTAGTACGCAGGCTGTTCTAACCTGAAGCCGGAGGAGCCAGCCAACGAGCTCCTGGTCGAACGAGACATGGATGCAGCTTCGGCTCCAGTTCCATCTCCCGATCATCTCACGTGGTGGCAATTCGACACAGAAACCACCAGCCAACAGACCCCAGCTTGATGAGCAATGAACACACGCCAAATCGCAAGCCTCGGACTGGGTCTGGGCTGCTGGGACCGAAACCAGCCAGTCACCTAGTGCTGAGCTACGGGGCCGTACAGAGCAACATTGAAAGCAAAACGCAGTTTGGCAGCGCAACATTTCTCCCGCCAGCGGGAGGGAGCATCTTGAGGACCACAAGACCTAGACATCCAGACGGAGTACAGCAGCAGTGGCACGTGCAGATTTTGCGCTGGTTGGTCAGCCCTGTGTTCGGTAGTATTTGCTGTACAATTTCTCACATACTGCCACCTAGGAAGGTTCCATCTGGAATCTGGACGTCATCAGGCCAGGCTTAATTGACAAGGAGGGTATTGAGGGTGTTCAGCCAGTGTCCCTTTCTTGGCTAGCCTTCGACGATCGAGAACGACTGGCCGTCAGGCCCTCTTGTGCCTTTCAGCCCTGGAACAGTCCCGTACAGTACAGGGGTCACGCGGGGAGGCGGCCGTCTCTGGAGATCATGCCTATGTTGGTGCATTGAGGTCAACACTGATTGTACGTTGCCCTCTGTGTGAGCAGTGTGCATGTGGGTTTGCAGCACCCTCGTTGAGCCATGGCCGCTGTGACGCACACATGGGGGACAGGGACACTGCGCTTGTCATGAGGGAACGCCGCAGGAGCATGGGGAAACTGGAGGGGAGGGCAGCCAAGGAGTGGATGAAGGTGGTGTGGGTGGCAGCCATTGTCTTGCATCATCCATCACGCCCGCTGACATGCCAGCAGATACCTGACGTGAGAGTTCAAAAGTTGGCGACAGGGCAGAAGCATGGGCTTTCCAACGAGGCCACCTTCCATCGGCACGGCCTACGGCCTATTTCTGTTCTTAGTTGCCACATCTGTTCACCAGGAGTGGGAAAAAAATATTTTCACTCGTCGTTGGAAATTTCGGATCTGTGCCTGGCGAACAAACTCTCAGACTTGCCACTTATACGTGAGCCGTCGGCCGATACTTCAACTAACGAGTCGCGCAAGAGCCTGTTCCATGACAAACCACTTTGACGTACCCACACGGCCATCACGAGGACTCATCACGTATTAGTTCTTACGCATACCTGGCCGAGTACGTGCTGTATTGTCATTTACAGAGAGATAGATCTCGAAAACAGCGGCAGCATTCCAGCCCTTTGGATCTTACGAGCCAATTTTCACATCTCATTTCGACCCCAGAGGTTGATCGAGCTGCATCAACGCTGGGGGAGCATTAGCGACAGCGACGACTTACACGAACTCATCTTCCAGACACCCAGCAATGAGCAGCGGCACCGAGCTTGAGCACATCGACGCCGTCGATGCCTTCGCCAGAACACTCTTCGTTCGAGTCGAAAAATATCCGTCACCACTTTTTACCGAAGTTGCCGCTGCCGTCCGGCGACTACACCTTGCTTTACGACATCTACGAGTAGAAGCTGCTGACCCTGACTCATTGCTAAGAAGCGCAGATGCTTCTGTCTATGCCCGTCAGCTAAGACCTATCGTGGAGGACTGTGATTTTGCCCTGAAGCAGCTTAAAACCACTCTAGAGAAGTTCGATGGTGCTGGTGGCCGAGAAACAGATGGACTGGTAGATCGAATAGCCGCGGTGCGGTCTCGCCTTGCCAACGAGACAACGAGCGTCGATATGTTTCTGGACACGGTGCAGTTAAATAATCCTGCGAATAATGCACCCGAGGTTGTTCCCCAAGGATGCGAGCCCAACTTGGAAAATATTAAAGACAAGGTCGACAATATCGCTGCACGATTGTTTCGTCGTTGGAATACAAATAGCGGCATCATCAATGACGAGGATAGCATGTGGCAAGAATTCAAGTCTGAACTTGAGATGGAAGGATTCTCCCCCCACATTCTGCACAAACACAAGGTCAGTCCCCCGTTGCTCAGCTACATGATATCACCTTACGCTGTTGCTGATCTGTTGCTCTGTACAGGACGTGCTTCGCGCATATATTCGTGGGCTTCAAGCTATGTCACCGGCTGATGGCGGTTCTCCCCCATCAGTACGAGGTTTGCTTGAGCACGAAGCCGCAAAGAGACCACCACCGCTTCCACCCAAGGAGCCTTTGGCCCCAAAAGAGCTGTACTCATCTTATGTAGAAAACGAGAAGTGTTTTCCTATCATCAAGAAAGAGTGGCGCATGCCTGATCACGCTCCCGTGGCTGGAGGATTTGATAACGATAATCATTCATTCTCCTCCGATTATGGGTCGGGCGCCGTGGAGGGCTCCCTTGCTCTTATTTCCACCAAGGACTTGATCAATATGGACAGCATCAGTGCAGGCATGGCTGTTATGCATTTGAAACCATCTAGCTCACATCTGGGGGCCCCTGGTGTGACGAGTAACCCGGGTTTGACAACTCCTGAGATGTCGGGAAGCTGGCCACCTCCGCATATAACCAACGGACAATCCAATCTCCCTAATTCTGTGGGCGGATCTCCTAATATGGGCTATCCGCAGCCAGGATATCCATCTGCCTCTGGAGCGCAACCAGGTACCTTCTCATCAAGCCCAGGAATCGTATCTCGCTTGGCACCTGATAGGTATGGCAAAGAGATCCCTATGGATGCATCCTGGACAAAGATCCGCAGGTCGTTGGTTAGCCCAGAGGTACTGCAGCGTGCCGGTGTCCGGTACGAGGCGCGACCAGAATATGTGGCAGTACTCGGGAGACTATCCCGAGAACAAATACAGGATTATGCCAGACAGAGTGCAGACTGTCGTGCTGCTCGATCAGGAAGATATCCAACAGCGCAACGCCAAAACCGGTATACCCAACGCGACAGAGCCGAGTCAAAGAGCAGCCGCGAATATAATGACGATGAAAGTGTTTTATGGGATGAAAGCGATGCAACAGATCATGAAGATGCGACGTCAACAAGAGGGAGAAAAACTTATCCATACATTGTCAGTCCACCCAGCAAGGACAAGACATCCCCTTCTAGCACAGTGATGCCGAGGCCTATCTTAAAGAACAAGAACGAAAACCACGTACGGTTCGATCCAGAGCCCCATGAGGTAGACATTAAGAGTTCGAAATCATATGACGATGGCTATAATAGAAGGCGAGAAAACGAGCCGCGGAGAAACCGCGACCATCGGGATAGCGGAAAACGAGAGGAGAGGCCACGCGGAGATGACAACCGTCACAGACACCCAAATCGCAGCGAACATGGCCGTCGGAGGGATCGCAGAGATGAGAGACAAATGAGGAGGAAAACATGGGGCGAAACCATTGGTGTTGTGAGCATCGGTGGTGCCGCCGCAAGCCTCCTCGGCGTCTTAACGGAAGCAGCAGTTGGATTCTAGTCATGGCTAAAACCACGTATTCCGAATCACGATATCACCAGATCAGAAACTAGCGTGCACCTTCAAAGCTGCTTGCTCTACTCGGCGCATGTACGATTCATGTGATCTGACTAACTTACTGGTCATCTCTGGCATTTTGAATTCTCCTTTATTTGGCTTTTTATTTAATGTGGACATGATCTTTGAGGGAATAACAGAACCATGTACGAAAAGAGGCGCATTTCCACTGTTATATGCTGTTTTCCAATGGGGAGGGACTAGCTGATGTGTGGCTGGGAAACACTGGAAAATAATGAAGACATGTACCATGCATGAATCACGTTGAAATGAACTTCAAGCTGCCCTAGGATGTTTGTTAATTTCTGGTTACTTGTTTGGATATACCCCAAACGGCAATGAGGCATGGCAGACGAGGACAGCGCATAGCATACATATTTGAACGGTTATGAATTTGCTTTTGTATCACTGCAGGAAACGAAATTGTCACGGTAAAAGAAATATATGAACTTGGGTCATGTTCAAACAGGCAAAACCCTAGGGCGCCACATGCGTGGTTGCACGTGCCATGTTGTGTAATGCGCCCACTTGATACACAATTATATGCTTATGCCTCAACACTGTAAATGCTACCAAAATGCACGGCATGCCCACACGATATTTTACATAATAAGCTCCTCCTCTAGCCGATGCCACCACGTTCTTGATTCCGCGTCCTCCTGCCTAGGCGCCCTTCCTAGCTGGGCGATTCTCCTCCGCGGCCTGCGGTGCCACCCGCGCACATTGAGGACAGGTGCCTCGGGATACGCAAAGTCGGGCTCATCAGAGCCGTCCAGGTCGCGAACGTGGAAGCCAGCCTTTTTCTGCGGCAAGGTCGACCGCCAGCATCGGACCCACTGGAAGCGGCGCACGGCGTCGGGACGGGTGATTTGCACAGCGCCCTGGGCGGTACGGTACCGGACCTGGTGGGGGAAGAAGTCGGCGAACTCGGCGAGCAGATTTGGTATCATGGTCTTCATGACGACTCCGTCGCGGTGCCCCTTGTTTGCGGAGGCGGTCTTGAGGAGCTTGTCGAACCAGCTCGATATGCGGTGGCGCACGTAGTCCTTGTACACTTCAGCCTGGTGGCGACGGTGAGTGGCCTCTGGGGAGGGCCCGAGGTCGTTTTGCAGAATCTCATCCTGGACGGCGAGCTCGTAGTCGTCGACGACGGCTTCGTAGAATGGGAGGATGTCGTTTCTTACAATGGCGAGGACGCGGACGAATGAGCGCTGCGAGAGGAGCGTCTTGATGTAGATGTCGTAGTCGTCGAACGACGGGCTCACGTTGTATGGCGGCGAGGTCATGACGTTCCAGACTTCTCGGACGTCGGCGCCTGATATGACTGCGTATTGGGAGTGCTCGAGGAGCTTTCTCGTGGGCTTGAAGGGTTTCGAGGCGCAGAGGTAGGTCCAGTTGAGAAGGTTGGACCACGTCTCGCGGGGAATGGGGACGTCATATCGTCGCGAGACAAAGTCGAGGAGCTTCATGCCCAGGGGGACGTGGGACATGGACCCGAAGGCCTCTACGATGGCGTTGAGGAGATTGCCAGTGGGCTTGATGGGGGAGCGTGGAGGAAGGTCTACTCCGCCTGAGATTTGGGGGTTTTCGGGATTGGACTCGGCATCTTGGTGGATCATGATGCCATAGTAGTTTTTGAAAATCAGCGTCTTGATTGAGTGTAGGGAACTGGATCGGGCAAAGGCCACGAGGGAGGCGCAAAGAAGCTCCTCGTCCATCTCATGGCCATAGAACAAGCCCCGAATCCAGTGGTTCTTGTAGCCGCGGAAATCGATCCGTCGTCGGACAAGGCGTCGCATGTCTTCGTCCAGCTCATCGGGCCTTCGGTTCCAGGGCCTCCTCTTGAAGGCGTTGATGCAGTGTCTGACGCTGTCCAGGCGCTTCAATGTTGCCATGGGCAGCGGTGACCGGTTGCTGTACATGTCTCGGGCCATGACGGCGACGCGCGAGCGGTCCCATTGATAGTACGCAGGCTCGACCACGAAACGGGACTTGATGAATTCTGTCCAGGTCTTGCAGGTGCGGACATCTTGCAGGCCCTGGGACGGCATCATGGCCCAGAATCGCTTGGCCGCCTGGTAGTCGACGGCAGCACCGGCACATCGTAGAAGGACGTCAAAGTCGGCGGGCGCCAAGCCATAGCGGGAGCCGGCACGGACTTCCATGAGTATCTGCATACCGCGCAGTACTTGGCGATGGTGATTGCGGACTCCAAACTGGTCGACCAACTTGCCAACATCGGTGAACTGAGTTTGGCCTTGGGTCAGGTTGAGGCCATGTGTAACATCATGTTTCCTTGTTGCCAGCAGAGGGTCAATGCTGCGTAATATCTCGGAGAATGAAGGGCCCGGGAGCTCCTGCGCCTGTCTGACGGCACCGTCGTTGAAGGGCGAGCTCGGGTTGCTGAGGAGATCGGTCCATTGGAGGAATGCCTTGTACAACAGCTCGGGGTCCCGAGTTTGCACCGCATCCAGCACAAGGTCGAGCTCCGTGCGTCCGCGAGGAGGGAGGAAGTCGGCGAAGTGATGCCGGAGAGGAGCTGCTGCGGCCGGCGTGGGCGCATGAGAGGCCAGGTGTCGTTGTCGTTGTCGTTGTCGTGGGTGTGCTTGGCTGAGGAGCTTGCCATGGGCACATGTCGCCGGACTCTCTGTCCGAGATGGGCTGACGGCGGGTGGCCGATTCCAGCTCGCCTTGGTCCAGAGAGGCCTCCTCAGGGCCATTGTCTCGATGTGCACCGCGGCAGCAATCCGCACCAAGCAACCAACTGCAGACAAACGAGGGCTCTGGCGCGTGCGGGCAGCATGGAGAAGGTCGAGTCGAGAAGGACGGGGCAAAACCCGGGGTTCTCGATGTCGATCTGTGAGAGTTCAATGTTCAGATCCACCGCGTCCAATCCACCGCGCCCAAGGATCTCCTGATTGGAGCATGCAAGTGCACCAGACTCAATTGCTCTAGGAGGCCCCAGGTGCCAGCACAGACGTCAACTGCAAGGCGAGTCCACTGCAGTCTGGCCTATGCCGCTCTGAATGGACATGCCAAGCACCAGACCCGAGGATTTTCCACCAGACGTCGACCCTTCGCCTTTCCACCCCACCGCTCAAGGCAGAAATCATTGGGCGCCTCGCTTCTCATCGACTCAAAAGCATTCAACTCGACGCGCTGACCAAGGGAAACGCTCGCAGCTTTGGCAGCCTGGCGCCTGGTATACACTCTCATCTCAAAGGCAAACAGGCTACACGTCGATTTTCGCTCAAAATGGCCGACACTGGCGACGATACCGGCCATGTCTCGGAGCCCCTCGACCTCGTCCGGCTCCTGCTGAATGAGGTGGTCTTTGTGAAGCTCAGAGGTGACCGTGAGCTCAAGGGCAAGCTCCATGTGAGGCATTTCAAAAGTCAATCATGTGAGGGTAAGGGGTGACTGACAAGCTGCAGGCCTACGACAGCCATTGCAACTTGGTTCTCGGCGACGTTGAAGAGACAATTTATGCTGTCGACGAAGACGAGGAGACAATCAACCGCAAATCAGAAATGCTTTTTGTCCGAGGTATGTCGTGGCGCTGTGGCAGCCGACGCTTGTGCTAACAGGAAAGCAAAGGCGACAGTGTTGTTTTAATATCACCGCAGGTCCCTTTCTGATGCGGATGACGACGGGTGGTGGGCGCAAAGAGAGAACACGTGGACTACTGGATTCATGAGTTGACGTCTCCTTGCAACCTCTCATCAGATCCATAGTATACACAGGCCATCAAAGAGGAGTCGTGTTGAACTAGCAGAGCTAGCATGCAGCCGTTCAGCTGCATCGAAGCGTCTAGGGGCATTTATCTAAATGACGGTCCATAGCTTCAGAACCTCGTGATGATTTCAAATCTTCCAGGTTCTAGCTTTTGGAAGACTTGCGAATCTTGTCTGACTGGCCCGGATGACATGGCAGATGGCTTGAAATATAGAAGGATTAATAAGAAGAAAGAAAGAAAAAAAAATGTTATAAGCTTCAGCTACCGCTGTCCAAAGCACTCGCCTTCAAACATTACCACTGCATAAATGCAAGGCATAAATGCACATGTCCGATCGGGGATCGTGTTGTGAAATACTAGTCCTTATCTGGTGGGCTCATCACCCCTGCTCAATCCTTATCGATAACATCAGGTCTCGGGAGGCAACTTGTTCGCCCCGCGACCCGCCGACCCGTAACGAGGTACTCCATCGCAACCTAGTCCATCTATGACTCCTTGCAGCAACCAAAAGAGTCAACTGGCCGAAGCCGTGGCGCAGTAACCCAAGGCTGGTTTACTCACACATTACATATATCCAAGAAAATCCCCAAGGACCTATTGCGTGCTCCTTCTTTCTCCTCCCCTCCCCGTTGCAAGAGAGTCCAATGATACCTCGAATATTGGTTTAACCCTCCACGGTCCTGTCGTCTGGCGAATAGCCATGTCCAACAAGAACACAAAAGCACTAGCGCATGAAAAGCGCAAGGGCGAGTCTGTAAGTTCTACGTAGCAAAGCATTGAGTCATTATCGACGCTGGTCTCACGAGAATTCAAGGCCTTGAGCGACTTTGCCGAATACGTGGAGCAGCAGCAGAACCTGCGCTTCCCTGCGTCAAGACGGACCAACGTTGTCGCCACGTCCAGTGCCAATGACGCGGAGCACCACGAGGAATTGGATGAACTGTTTGATAATCTTGACTTGGCAGACACTGCACCGAGGATACCCCTGAGAGACCTTGTGCTCGGGACGGATGACTACACATTGGAGAAGCTCCATGATGTCATTGCCGAGCGCATCGAGGAGGGGATGGGCGAGACCGTTTTCGAGCTGGGCTACGAAAACAACGGAGATTCCATGAACCTGACCGCGGATAACTGGAACACCGCGTACAGGAGACTGGCGGCTGCGGCAAAGGCTGCCGGGGCCGACTGTGAACTGCTTCTGACCAAGAACGTCGGTGGCGAACTCGAGGCAGAGAGCACCGCCAATAAGCCTGACAAGGGAGGTGGATGCAACGGCAAGATTCTTATACGAAGAGTTCCCACTAATGTTGAAGATGTTATTGAGACTAGAATTGCCGTTGTCGGTAATGGTAAGTCGGCCTCCCCAATATCATACGTAGTAGGCGTGGAGGTTGCGCAGGGAGCTGACTGGTTTTGGTCACTCAAGTTGATGCTGGAAAGAGCTCCATGCTTGGAGTGCTGGTAAAGGGTGACTTGGACGATGGAAGAGGCAAGGCGCGTGTGAATCTGTTCCGCCACAAGCACGAAATCGAAAGTGGTCGAACCAGTTCCGTCGGAATGGAGATTATGGGCTTTGATAGCGTGGGGAAAGTAATCACGTCCGATACCCCTGGACGTAAGTGCCGGCTTTTTGCCTTTTGCGGTCTCTGGCATCTGGCTATAGTTTCTTTTTATTAACAACTCCGGGTATAGGAAAACTGTCATGGGAGGACATTGGCAAGCGAAGTGCCAAGGTAATTACCTTTAGCGATTTGGCTGGCCATGAGAAATACCTGAGAACAACAGTCTTTGGGCTGCTTTCCAGCAGCCCCAACTACTGCCTGCTCATGGTTGCCGCGAACAATGGGCTGGTTGGCATGAGCAAGGAGCACCTGGGAATCGCTCTCGCTCTCAACGTGCCCGTCATGGTCGTGGTTACCAAGATTGACATTTGTCCTCCAAATATTCTGCAGGAGACCATTACCCAAATCACCAAGATCATGAGGAGCCCGGGAGCCCGCAAGGTCCCAACATTTATCAAGAACCGCGAGGAGTGTATCAACACAGCCACACAATTTGTCAGCCAGAGAATATGTCCCGTGTTCCAGGTTTCCAACGTGACTGGGGAGAACTTGGGCTTGGTCCGGACTTTTCTGAATATTCTCCCCCACCACGGGAGATACAATACGGATGCGCCGTTCGAGTTTCATGTCAACGACACATTCTCGGTGCCATTCACAGGGACAGTCGTTTCTGGAATCGTCAAGTCTGGCGTTGTTCACGAGGGAGACAATGTCCTGATTGGGCCTGACTCCCTGGGACAGTTCACCCCTACAGCCATTCGATCGATTGAGCGCAAGAGAATACGTGTTCCCGCCGCTGTTGCCGGCCAGTCTGCCTCGTTCGCACTGAAGAAGGTAAAGCGCAAAGACGTGCGCAAGGGCATGGTCGTGCTTCCCAAGGTGGAAGGCGAGCCTAACCCCAAGGTTCACCGAGAATTCGTTGCAGAAGGTAAGAAATGACGCTGTTTCGGACAACGACGTGTGTTTAGACGCGAGTACTAAACCTGCCTACAAAACAGTATTGATTCTATCCCATGCCACCACTATCAAGAAGAAGTACCAGGCGATGCTCCACGTCGGGCCAGTCTCCCAAACTTGCGCCATCATCGATATTGATAGGGAGTTGATACGGACAGGGGACAGAGCCACGGTGGCGTTCCAGTTCGTCCAGCGGCCCGAGTACCTTGCGCCAGGCGACCGACTGCTCTTCCGCGAGGGTCGTACTAAAGGCCTGGGCATTGTCAAGGCCGTTGGCTATGACCCCAACCACCCGTTGATGGAAAAGTCTGCGAATGGGGACGACCAGAAGGATCAAGACAAGCCTCACGCGGGACGGCAAGTTCGGGTCAGTGCATAGAAGAACCTGTACGACGCTGGGTCTTTCTCTCAGACAGTGTGGCGAGGGGAGTGGGCTATCTTTTACGATATCATCATAATCTCTGTGCTTTCCTGCATGGGATTTTGGAGACGTTTTTGCTTTGTTGTGCTACCGGAATCCATAGAGCGATTGCTTTTTTTGCCCTCTTCATCTTGCTTCTTTTTCAAATGTTCTTTGTACAGGTCTACTCCTCATTCTTGTTTGTAGTTTTGCCCCCCCCCCCCCCCCCCATTTCTGATTTAATCGTAATATATCACCACGTCACGCAAAGGAGCAGATGCGGCACTGCTACATCTACAACGGTGTGAAGCCTAAAACAAGGTCCTCCTATTTCTGGACATTAACGCCGGAATATACAGCGGAGAGCACGGCTCTCGGATGGCAAATTAACTGCCTGGATTCCGGATCTTGCCCGCAACACCGTTCAATGTAGATGCATATCTGGCCGTGGTGGATGGGGGCTTCGTCCAGATCCCTCCACCGGGACCTCGGTGTTCTCCCAAATCCCGATGGATGTACAGCTGAAAAAGAGAGTAGCTTATAGATGAAGTTGTGAGCGGACTGACTGGGAGAGGCTGGAGAATGGTGCTGATGGTGGAAACTTGACTGGCGGATTCCGGAGATGACTTGTAAGACAACCGGGACAGGCGCCTGCCTGTTTTCGTATATATTCTCTGCCATGATTGGTTGTTGGGAATGACATGCGTGAGAGACGCCATCAAACGTATGGGATGAAAAACTCTACTTTCCAAATGCCTTGATCTGCAACCAAGGCAGACTGTATCGTAGTTTAAACCGAGACTGACCCCTAACTCGGGTCTGAAGAGACCATTGCCTTACAAAAACGAGTCCAGCTCCCGCCCATGCATCGCCGTCCTGTCCCCTCGCATTATCCGACAAGGACTAACCCATCGCCATCATGACTTGCACAGAAACAAAGCTCCCCCCCAACCATGAAGGCCATTGTGCTTCACGGACCGGGCCAGGCCACCGTCGACTCGGTGCTGACGCCCCACCCCGGCCCGGGCAGCAATACCATCCAAGTCCTCCACGCCATGGTGCACAACGCCGCCGAGGCACTCATTGAAGGCACTGCCGGTGCCGGCGGCCACCCAACATTGAATGAAGCAACTGTACCCAAACACCTCAGGTGGCTATGGCGTGGGCCGAGTTGCCGCCTCCGGGCCGGACACGACAGCCCTGGAGCTCCTCCGTCCAGGGCATCTATCCCGGTCTGAGGACCATCGTGGCCGACAAGACGGGCAATCTGGCTGCGGCTACTGCCGCCCATGGCCCCGGTGGACGCTGCTGTGGATTTCAGACCCCCTGGCGCGACGGATTCGGAGTCCCTGGGCCAGGCGATTCTTTCCCTCCGGCGGTACGGACAAGTCTGTCTCACTGGTGGGCGTGGCGATGCCGCGCTGCCCGTTCCCCATGGTGTTCAAGGACTTGGCGCTTCGTGCATCTTGGATGTACGAGAGGACACATGTCAGAGCCCTCATTAAGATGGCGCAGGCGGGGGTCCTGAAGCTGGGGAAGGCGGCTGGTTTGGACGTTATTGCTTTTTATCCGTTGGAGAAGATGGAGGAGGCGCCGGACAAGGGATTGGAGGCCGGTGCTTTAGAGTTGGTGGTTATTGGGCCGCAGTGACCATCTTTTGCTTATTGCGGTTGTTGCTTGCCGGTTGTTGAGGACGACTTGAACGGATGTCATGTAATCAAGTATTGAACACTTGTGACGCATTCCTTGACCCTTGTTACCATCTATACGGGAAACAGTCCATGACAACCTATTACAGCCATCTCCAAGTATACGACGACATGTTGCAATATACCGGCCTGGCGTGCGATATGTCGGTGCGCTTTTGGGTCAAAATCTTTTTGCCTCCCACTATATGACGTCTGATTGTAGTTTTGCTTCCGAGGTCCTGTGTGACTGTTTCACGGCTGTTGCAGGATAACTAGCTTCTTGGGGGACGAG